GCAAACTCAACGCCCAACCTTACCCCATATCTTCTTGGAGCAAAGCTCAACGTACCATTAGAACCCAGTATAATCCCGAATCACACACTAATACAAAACACATAGAGTATTATTTCCTAGACATGCCTTTCATATACAAAGTTCCTATTAAGAACAATAGCCAATTAATCCAATTCACCAAGAGTAGTTGTCAATGATGCATAATTTTCACATATTGATTCAAATACACTTTGAAACACACTTATGGATGGTTGTCATGATCAACCCATATATTTGGATAGTGAGAAAGTTCAGCTCATCCAATTCACATTCAGAGTATACATAGATTTTCACAAACCGTTTCCAAAATCCGATGCATCATTTGCAACACATCACATTCATAATTCACATTCTCATTCTCATTTTCGACACAAGTGTCATCATATGTAAATCAACATAATTCATATTCCAACATCATAATTAACCAGATAACACAATATATCGGAATTAAAAATACAACACTACACAAACATTAACCTTTAATCACGATCATTTCCTAAGAAAGAGAGCTACTTATTTTGCTGTCCGAAAGCCTAAAACGCTTCCAAACACCAGCTCAACGTTCACCAAACTCAAAACACCAAGTTTCCTCAACTAACAACACAATAAGAACCTTGCAAAGAAAATTAACACTTCATAATCTAATCTAAAACAAAGAAGAATCCTCTGTTTCTATAATAAAGCGCAAACGCCGAAAACACTGAAAACCTTACCGAAACGTTACTCTGGAAGTTCCAATCCGAAACACACGAATCTCCACACTAAAAGCTGATAAACAAAAACTATAATCAACATCTAACTCAGCTAGAATCATACAAATTAACATCTACAAACCTAAATTCCTGGATTCCCAAAAATACCAAGAATTGACATTGTTTTCAAGAAATCGATATCCAAATCATTGCAATCAAAACTAATTTAATATGATTATAATCACTCAAAAACAACTCAATTTTATTAATAAAACCTCAAAACCAAATCAAGAAATCAACACATTAATTAGCTCCGAAAATTCAATTGAAATCGTACAAATCCTTTCAATTAAATCAACAATTTAATAGAATCATTAACACATAGTCACTTGCCCTTGAAGCTTGAAAGAAAACCAATGAAAATATCCTTACATCATTGGAAAAGGATTGAAATTGAGATTATCGATGGAACTCCATTATGATCAAGCTTTAAAAACAAGAAGAGAAGAGAAACTTAATAATTAAAATCAAGATTGAGATGAGTGAATGTAGAAATCAAGAAGAAAAATAGAAATAATTGATCAGCTTGCTTGGGAGAAAATAAGAGAAAATTGAAGTTAAGAGAAATTACTAAAATGTAAAATGAGAAGGAAATGAAAAACATGTGAATGAAAACAAGCAAATAAGGAAATGTCAAATAAGCAAATATGGAAAAGTGGTAAAAAGGGAAAATTAAAACATTTTAATTTGGGAGGGAAAGCTCTAAACATAAGCCTTGATATAATTGTTTAATAGACTTTGAACATTGTGAAAATTTACAAAATGATCACCGAAATTATAATTTCCAATTCCTTCAATCGAGTTACCGAATTATTTAATTAAACTTCCATAAGTAAAATTAATCATCTAACATCACTTAAAACCTTTCCAAAAGATTTTTTAAAACCAAAATATGAATTTTAGAAATTTTCTTCTTTTTTATCAGAAATCCGGAAATCGACCCGAAATCAACCCTAACTACCATACCCGACTTTAGGATGTTACACACGTCATCAATTTAACGGGGATGACGGTGGAGTGACAATTTTATTACAAATTGATATTGTTAGTGACTATTTTGTTACAAATCGATATCATTAGTGATCGATTTATTCCTTTTGAAACTTTAACGGAGAAAATGAAAACTTACTCAAACATTAGTGACCATTAGTGTAGTTTACCCTATATTTAATATACATAGACACAATAATTGGTTTCGCTAGTTGATGCTTGAGGGGGAGAGAACAACTCCAAAACATCATGAATGGATTGATTTTTTGTTTTTCACTTTTAGTGACCAAACTGTCGGCATAATTTTACCAGTTGCCCACATCACTATATAATTTATAAGTGTGCATATAAATAATTAATAATTTGAGACATATCAGTGGCGAAAGTTTTTAAAATTCATAATTAGGTTAAAAGATAACCATATTTTTTTATTAATCTGGGTAAATATAATATAATATATATTCAAAGATAAATTTTAATTTTTTTGACATTGAACGCTCACACCCTTGACATCTACAGTGCTCGAACCCGATTTCTAAAAAATAACAACAATTCTTTTACCAATGAGGCCACTTATTTTGAATTTTTTTATTAACTTGGGCTAAGTACAAGGCAATAACTTTTGACTTTGAAGACTCACACATCTATAGTGCTTGAACCAAAGTCCTCAAGGAATAAAAACAATTCCTTTACCGCAGAGACTACACAATTATTTGATATTTTTTTATTAAGTAGAGATATATTATATTTTAAAGAAAAATATTATTATACAAATTCACATAAAGTGTGACAACGTGAATATTCTTAGCCACTCGATCAATTAATAGATCTCATTATTTTATAATTAAATATAAACATAACTCACGAACCAAGTGGCTTTCGTGATAAAGGAATTATTGTTATTTCTTAAGGACCCGAGCTCGAACACCATAAATACCAGAGGTGTGAGGATTTAATGTCAAAAAATTAAAAGTTATCTTTGAACAAATAAGTGTTACCGTGACAATTTTATAAAAATTCATAAATTCAATTATCACTTTTTATTTTTTGAAAATTTAATAACCATAAGAATTACTCACAATTTAATGACATTGAATATATTTTAATCTAAATTAAATATTATTCCCAGGAGATATATATCTAATGAATTACTTTTAGTGAAATTTGAACGGTCCACCTCAATCCATGCATTCAATGGTGTTGGGTACAATATGTTAATCAAAATACACAGTCCAATTATTTGAACACACACACACACACACACATATATATATATATATATCAAAGAAATAGACCTAAGACTGTATTAGCATTTAGGGTTAGATTCAACCTAATTGAATGCTCATAAAAGAAGCTCACATGTATATAGGATTTTTCCTGTGTTAATTATTATACAAGGAAAAGGAGAGCCAAATGCATTTGAGATGTGATTGGCATATTCAATGTGTCCACCAAAGCATTTAAAGTATATTATTAAACTTTTGAATGTTATGATTTCATCCCTAAATTCACCTAAATATGAAATTTGTTTCAACCAAAATTTAACCTATTTTTTTTCAAATATATAATAATATAGTTTGACCTGACGGTTTTTTTAACATGGAATGTGATTAGCATATACCGATACTTTAGAAATAAAATTAGAATATTCAAAAATTTGAGGATTAATTTAGAACGAGAATCATAGTTTATAAATGAAATTTGAGGATCGATTTAAAATGAGACTCTTAGTTAAATAATAAAATTAGAATGTTTAAAAATATAATGACCAATTTAAAATAAAAATCATAGTTTGAAGTCACGTGGTACAATTAACCCTAGATAGTAACATAAATTAGATGGTCTAAGTCAAGGTCCCAAGTCCTAACTTCTAATCCATGTTGATGATAAAAAAGATTTCTTTTCCCACCTAAAACATCTAAATCCTTTTGATATATCGATTAATAAATTAAATATTAATAATTACATTACAAAATATTTAATTATATTCAGTTTTTTATTTTGGCATTTATGAACCAATACCACAAAACAATGACTTGCGTTTTCTTTTTCCATTTATGAATGAAACTTACCAAATGAAGAGAAAGGTTTTTTTTTTCTTCATAGAAATAAATGATGATAATAATAATTGTAGTACAATTAAAAAGCATGGTTCTACCAACAACCAGTTGATCTAGTGGGATGAGGTACTAGGTCCCTTAAGCAAGGTCAGGGGTTCGAATCCTGGCGTTTGTGAATGAAGCAAATTGGGTTGGGAGAGTTGCCCTCGTCTCTGCAGTACCCGATCTGGATTAGTTAGTCAATAGACCAGATATTAGTGATTAATTAAAAAAAAATGGGTCTATATCAACAATCGATTGGTCTAGTGGGATGAGGCACTAGATTTCATTAGCAAAGTCAGGGGTTCAAATCATGACGTTTGTGAATGGAGCAAACAAGATTCGGAGGATATCATTCGCCTTTACAATATGCTATCTGGATTAATAGTCAATAGATCGGATATCAATAATTAATTTAATAAAAAACATGGGTTTATAAAGGTAGAAGTAATAAAGAAGCTTGAGATCCCAAAAAGCATAAACAAAAATGGTTGCAGAGACATACATGCATTCACCTTTCTTTTCCTTCATTAATGCCTCCTTTAAATACAAACGTTATAATATAATTTATACATCTTTAATTATCCGCCAGACAATAATTATTTACATGAATTTTAATTAATTTTAAAAATCAAATATAAAAATTTTATTTAAACGATATCAAATTTCATTATTATCGTTCAATCTCGTATCATCGATAAAAAAAAAAGGTCCTAGATGACTCAAATACCATGAAAATGCAATGAGAGTGAGGTGTAGGGTATAGGAAGGTAGCCATGAAAATGCAATGAGAGTGAGGTGTAGGGTATAGGAAGGTAGCCATTCTAAGGTACCCAATCATTTTAAGCTGACCTTTGGACCAAACCATGAGACTCTTCACTTTATAATCAGAAAACCTACCCCATATTATGTACTAAATAGTTTTGTTAGTGTCTAATGTGATATGACACGTGTCTTGCATCAGATGGTTCAGGGACTTTGACGACCACAGTCAAAAACCCTAGCTATTTTGATACCTTTGTTTATTTCTTTATTTGTTGTATCCATTTACTACTTATAAGACTTTTTGTTATCTATCTATCTATCTATCCCCACACCCCCTTTCTTTGTTTCTCATTCGTTTCTTTTCATATTCTTGCGCTTCTTGTTTGTCTCCTTTTAGTTTCCTTTTTGCTATCTTATTTATTTTACATAAACTTTACCTTCTTATCTTCTTAAATCTGCAACTTTCATGGCGGTTTTACCCACCTGTTCTTCACACTTGGAGTTGACAATATCTATTCCCGGCTTTGCTTCTTCCCCTTCTCTTCCTTCTTCTGGTAAGCCCAAAACAAACTCATATGTGTTTGTGTGTGTGTATATATATATATATATATATATATATATATATATATATGAAAGCTTCATCAGCCTTTGATCTTATTCGAAGCTCAGATGAGTCCATGCATGGTTTCCAGAAAAGGGTTTTTTTTGTTGTTACTTTCTAAGATCGATCGATTTTGCATATGAAAATTTGATAAAGGTGATCAAGGGGGTTCTATGGTGAGAGATTTGGATATAAACCAAGTACCATCAGGAGAAGATGAATGGATCACAGCAAGCATGGAAGACGAAGAGGAAAGCTGCAACGCCAACGGCGGAGCCGCCGCTCCTCGGAAAAAGCTCCGCCTCACAAAAGAGCAATCTGCCCTACTCGAAGAAAGTTTCAGACAAGACCATACCCTAAATCCCGTATGTAATTTTTTTCAAACATTTATTAATATTATTATTTTTTATTAATTATGGAACAAATATAAAATAATGTATGTTTAATGATAATTTTAAACCATTTGATATTAAACGTTCACACACACGAATATCACGCTCGTTTTAATCCGAAATCTTTAGAAATAATAACAATTAATTTATCTGAAATTAAATATTAATTATCCAACATTTTTCTCTTTTTAAGCATAAAATAATAAAGCCATCACTCCTATATCTCTTCATATTTAATACCCTTTTGGATTTTCGTGTGTTTTCCAGAAGCGGAAAGAGGCAATGGCTCTGCAGCTGAAGCTTAGGGCAAGGCAGGTTGAAGTTTGGTTCCAGAACCGTAGGGCCAGGTACCCTATACGTATATACACACACACATGAAATATATTTTCATTCATTTAAATGTGCCATTATTTCGTTGGTTGGTGCGATTAAAAAGTAGCACTGGGTAGACATCAGATAATTTCATGGATAATTATATTCTATGGTTCATTTTCATGGGGTTTCTCTTGTCATTTCCCAGACAAAACGGTTGTGTTTGGACGTTGATATATCACATCACCTCTTTAATACATACATAAATATGCTTATTTGAGTAATAGAAAGAAAGCTTTATCCCTAACACCACGTATGCAGCGTAAAATCCTATGAATAAAACCACTTTTTAAGGTTCTCCAGACATCTGCTAGGATGATGTTAGAGGAAAGCTATTTACTTTTCCTGTATGCATGACCTTAATAAACATGATGCATGATGAGTCGTTGCTTTGTCCCATCATTCTTTGGACTTCGCCATGCATGATGCATGATGAACTATTATTATTATTACTACATACGTGTATAAGTATAACATCATTGAATGGAATCAGTGGAAGGGAAGAAAAAGATTATTATTACTACATACGTGTATAATCTTGCTGAAATTAGATTGTGTATGAGTTAATGACAAAAGAAAACCTTATATGTGTATAGGAGCAAGTTGAAACATACGGAGATGGAGTGCGAGTACCTGAAGAGATGGTTCGGATCGCTGACCGAACAAAACCGAAGGCTTCAACGGGAAGTGGAGGAGCTTCGGGCTATGAAAGTAGCTCCGCCGACCGTGATCTCCTCGCACAATTACGAGCCTCTGCACGCTTCGACTCTCACGATGTGCCCTCGGTGTGAGCGTGTGACCACCACCACAGCAGCTGCCCTCGACAAGGTCTCCACAAAAATAACCCTCGCAGCCACCACCGCCACCACGTTGTCGTCTAAAGTTGGAACATCAGCCCTCCAATCAAGGCCATCTTCGGCGGCTTGTTAGTCAGGCTTAATGACCCACTTTATCAACTTAATTTAAAAGGAAAAAAAGGGAAATGATTTAGGGAATGTTCATATTAGTTTACACACAATTTGTAAGGGACAGATACTACATATGGGGCATCTAATCTACATAGGGATTTCACTTTATTTTATTCATCATATTTTATTATTGCTCCATATATATATATATATAGCCGACAACAACTCCATCCCCCAAGGCTGAGGCTATATGAACCATCATATGATTAAGTCAAAACTTGGTAGCTAAGACATGAAATTAAGTCTTGGCCCTACTCATCACGAGTTCAAGAGAGGATTTGGTCGGCATTGCAATAATGGATGATGTTAAAAAGATGAACAAAGTTACTTTCAAAATGATTTTTGGCAGAAGAATGTAAAGATAGCAGAATGGGTCTATAACGGCGATTTTCGCGGTATTTATAATACAAACGCCAATAAAATTTCACATAGAGCAGCATTTTTATAAAAACGCCATTGAATGTCAAAATTAGCGGCGTTTGTCGTTAAAATGCCGTTATAGATCCGTACCTTAGTGGCGTTTGTTATAAAAACGCTTCAATAGAGGCACCTTAGCGGCGTTTGTTACTAAAACGCCGCAATAGAGGCGAACCTTAGTGGCGTTTGTCACTAAAACACCACTATAGAGCCATACCTTAGTGGCGTTTGTTAGAAAAATGCCGCAATAGAAGTGAAACTTAGTGAAGTTTGTTATTAAAACGCCGCAATAGATTTGTATCTTAGTGGATTAAAACGCCATAATAGAGGCGCAAGTTAGTGGCGTTTGTTGTTGAAACACCGTTTTAGAGGCACAACTTAGTGACATTGGTTATTAAAATGCCACAATAGAGTCATATTTTAGTGGCGTTTTTTTTTATTAAAACACCACCTTGGGATATATAAATCTCCTCTCCCCCTGATTCCTAATTTGTTTCTTCCTAAACCTTTCTTCCTCCATCCTCAGCGACCATCTTCATCAAATTGGCACGCTAGTCACCACCGTCGCGCCGCTAGTCACCACCGTCACACTGTCAGTCGCTCCTCAAGGCTCAAAATCCATGTACGCTTTTAATCTCTTCTCATGGCATCCTGTTACTAAAATCCCTAAGAAGAACCCTATGTTTGCTTCATAAAAACTCATTGGATTCTGATTTGAAATTAAATTTTGCTGTTGTTTGCTGGTGTTTTTCCGAGAAAATTCAAGCTTCCCTAATGTCAAGATAGATTATTGGTTGAACTTGGGAGTTTTGCGTTTGTTTCCTATTATTCAAAAGTAAAGAGCTTTGATTGTAAATTCGTGGGATGGTGGTTGCGTGAAGAGAGTGAACAAAACAAGGTTTAAACAAAGGGATTGGCTTCTATTGTAGTGGCTAAATTTTCTGATTCCTCTAATCTTCGAAGAAAAATGAGAAGATACTCATTAAAAATTTTCAAAAAGAATAATAATAATATCGCTCGTCTCCTTCACTCATTCAATGCTTCTGAAAGGGTGTAAAATTTTAGTTTTAAACTTAACCCTATATGAGATATGATATATTCATGATATGTAAAATTTTTAGATTTTACATATTCTAAGGATCATTGAATGAGTTTCACTAGAAATAAACTTATGAAAAATGCATTAAGAACTTGGTTATCTATGCATGGTCCATTATCCAGTACCATCAAACTAATTGGACTTCACCCTAACGAAAGCCTCTTTTTTTTAGCCTTTTTCCTTGAAAACATAAGACCCGACAAATCTTTGATGAATGTTTTGAGTTGGGTAATAACAGCTAGGAAACACAGGAAGGGGTTCCCATGATCCTGTCCGGGACAAACCCCCTACTCTATTGTCTCAATCTCATCTCGAATCCGAATTTATTCAATTAAACATTCATGGTATGTTTAGGATTCATGACTATTCTTTTTAATAATTTTATCTTTTAAAATACGAATCTGAGTTATCTTCTTAAAAATATAATACATGTTACCAGTACACCTAATACACAGCACGAGTTAAATCTTAAGTTGATTCCGAAAAAATCGAGATGATAAACCAAATCACATGGGCCTCAAAAGCTCTAGGCTGTGCCTCACGGTCACTACAATATTAGGGTTGCCCGTTACCGGCATGCCTACGGTGACACATTTCCATCAGAACTCAACCCGAAAATCTGTCATAGAAAAAACATGAACTCAACATGTCCCCAACTCCCATCAAACATGTCCCATATTTTTTTCTCAATAGAAAACCAAGATCGTAAAAAGAAAATCGAAAAAGAAAATGCAGACCCTTAGCTGTCTTTGGGAACAAAGATGAGTCATGACAAATGGTAATTAAGTGCAGCCTAGCATTTGGCCGTAAGGGCAGGGTTTTTTGTTGCGGTCGGAGCGACACTATCTTAAAAGAATGTTCTTTCACATGGAATGCTTTGGACTCAATAAACAATGGTGATTTAAGCAATGCCCCACCACCATTGCATGGGAACCCTATCTTCCATACAAAATTCTCATCGCCATTATCCCGAGTTTTATTATTATTTTTACCTAGGGTAGTTAAACCCTAGCTTAAGAATGATCATGGCTCGAGATCGATGCCGACGTATATTGAGTCAACATATTTGACGGAACACGTGTCGGACCGGTACCTGGTGCGGTTGAACCGTCCACATAACAATGCATTGTGAAAAACGGTGATGGCATGGCTATTAAGAGAGGGGGGTCGCTTGGGACAAATGAAGTACTCATGGTAATTGAAGCAAAAGGGGATTGTTTTCATATCATCGGTCCAAACGAGAAATATGAACTAGCCCCAATGGAAGAAGGGTCCGTTCCTTGACGGGTGAGCCCATTGTTTGCAGTTGGTTTTGCACGTGCACGCGCGTTTGTTGAATGTCGAGGGACCTAGTGTTGGCCTTTAACAAGAGCCGACGACCCTTTAAAAGAGGTCATTAATGGTATAAAAAAAAGAGAGGACATTTAGATTATTATATGTTTTGGGATTGGCCTAACAGTACTTGGTTGAATACCCTAAACCTATGGTTATTTCCATTTACTAAATATTGAACATATGTCCAAAAGGATATTATGTTAAATTAGTCTCCAAAGTCCAAGAGTAAAGATTTCTAGCGAAAAATAATAAAAGAAATCAATGCCGTTAAAATAAATTGGGTAAACTACGCATTTAGTATCTAAACTATCAGTTTTGATTCCTTTTGGCACCTAAACTTTTATTTTTTTAAAAATCATACATAACTTTTAATTTTCATTTCATTGTAGTACGCTCCGTTAAAACCTTAATGTGTTTAATATATAAATTATTAGTTTTAATACCTAGCCTTTCAATATTTTCAAAACTTAACGTTAAAATTTGAACGAAATACTAAAATGAAACAAAAAAAATTTAACGGTGGGTAATAAAAATGAAACAAAAACTCCTTTAAGTATGATTTTGAAAAAATTAAAAGTTTAGATACTAAAATGGATAAAAACTGATAGTTTAGGTACTAAATATGTAATTTACCTTTAATCTCGATTAACTCACTTTGAGCAATCTCTTATTTGATGTGCACGCGTGGGTGATGGCATTTGCCTTCATATTCGCATGTGACTCTCACATGCTTTATCAATTTATATTATAATATTATATAGAGTTAATTGCATCAGATATCCATAAACTATGCTCAAAATTTATATTAGTTCACAAACTTTGAAATATTCTAATTGGTCTCTAAACATCAATTTCATTTCAAACCCACTCTTTCGTCAGTTTAGCAAGCCATCTAAGCATTAAATGTCAATTCGAATCTAACTTAGAGAATTTTTGAAATTTCTGGATCAAATTTCAAAAGCGCGTACACGTTGCATGTACATTCTAGATTTGTTTCGTAAAAATTTGATTGTCATTCGAATTTAACAAGATTATCTTTTAACTCATCAGATCTAAATTATCTGTACATTGATGCATAATGTTTAAAATTCGATACAATTGTTTTAAATATCTTAACAACATATCTAAGTTGACATTTAAAGTTAAAATAGTTTAAATAACTAACAAAATAACGTGTTTAAAATGATATCGATACATTATGAACTAATTTAGAATGTTTGAAAGTTTAGAGGCTCTATGTGACATATGACATTAATTAAAGAATACTTAGATGAAAGAGTTGAATACTTCTATTTTGACTCAAAAATACTTTAAGTACCTATTTTGATCAAAAATACTGTCGCAACCGTCTTTCGGTTGGGCCTCGGAATTGGGCTTCGACTTAGGAAAATGGATTGGAGTCGCCACCGATCATTTATTTAAAGATAAATGGGTTGATCGGATACCCTATTTCTTACCTGATCTGCGTCTTACCAGAAATATGTCGGGCTCGGGAGTCGGTTACGGTCAAGGAAGGATTAGCACCCTTGAACCGCCCTTTCGGTACTACGTAATTTCCAGTTGTCTTAATTAAGAAAAATAACAAGTTAAATTAAAAGATAAAATAATAATCCAAAATTACTTACCTTTGACGGATTTACAAATATACCCTTTAAAAGTCAAAATATGGGTTAGAAGAGATGAATAAATAATAAATAAAGTAAAACAAATAAAATAAGGAGATTAAGTAAGAAATAAAGTAAATATAAAATGAATAGAATATATAAAATAAAAAAACAATAACACTAATATATGCACAACAAACAACTAAATAAAAATAAAATGATAATGCAAATAAATAAATAAAACAAGTAAAAGAATATAAAAACATAAAATATAGGATAAATATAAAAATAGATAAATAATGAGTAAAATATATAAAAAAGTAAATATATATATATATAAGTAAAATAATAATAATAAAAAAAAGAAAATCAAAAGTAATATACGTATATACATGCAAAATAGGAAATATATAAATAAATATATATATATATATATATATATATATATATATATATATATATATATAATATACACTAATAAAAAAACATATATATATAATAAAATTAATAGAAAATAATATGCATATATAACAAGAATAATAAAGTAGGAAAAAATGATTTACGGGGGAGAATTAAATATTTTAAAAAAATGAACACGCTCGGGGGTTGATCTAGGTTCGAAACTTCGAAATCCCACTCTTTTTTAGTCATCGGCGCAACCCA